TCAAGATTCAAAAAGGAAAGAATTAAAGAAGTCCTTCATGGTGAAGACCAAACCACTTCTTCACAGCTGAAACAGCCCTATCTTAAGTCTGTCACATTCCAAAGCCTATAAAATGCCATACTTTGGACTGCGAAGGTCAGTGGCCAAGACCTGGAAGCACTGAACACAGATCGCCCACGCCAAGACTGCCAGGGCTCCAGCGCCAGAAACAGAGACGCTCAGGAGGCCTCCCTCTACCCAGAGTCCATGAGGGCTCGAAAACCAGAACAGCCTTCCAACAAATCTCCATTAGCATTTAAAACAAAAGGCCCGCTGGGAAATAAAACAAAGAATGAGGAACCAGCAAATAGAGAGAATTTAAGTAATTTCTTGATAAATATTTTAATCCTCTGTGGGTCAATGATCAGTTTAGAAGAAAAGAAAGAGAACAATATTCCCCCTCTATATGTCTTACATGACACATCTCTCTGAAAGAAAACCTTTAGAAGAAATCATATTTCTAAGTTTGAGTATCATAAACAAGTCTGGTTTATTATACTTAAAATTGTAGAAACACACTAAAGCTTTAACATTTTTTAAATTTAAAAATAAAAACCTCTTACGTGTCAACTACATCTCAAAAAAATAAACCATTTATGCATTAAAAAAATAAAAATGAAAATATTGCTTTTAAAAATAAGGAATGCAAGCATTTATCTAGTAGTTAGTCATTTACATTCAGTTAATGAAAACAAACCCGAAACCCTTGGTTTGGAGTTGTTGGGGACCCCTCTGGCAGGGGCGTCCACCCTTGCTCTGCGCTCCGCAGGCGCCTGGTCGCGCAGCCTCACAGCAACAGCACTTCCTTCCTGGACTTTCTTCCAATGGCTCTACGTCTGACTTCAAGGAAGTGCAGACAAGGGGTTTCACAACGATCTATAGAAATAAATGCCCGTCCATACACCTGATCCCTTCCCATGTCGTAAATGGATGCCCTTCCGGAAATGCCTTAAATGTGGGCATTTGGAGGACACGCCTGCTGCCTATGGCTCCCACAGTTCAGCATGGAGGGCTCCAGCAACACCAACGTGAGAACAGGGCTAAGGCTAAAACCTCAAGTCACTACACCTGCAACCATGATCAAGCAGAGTCTGGATTCATGGCACACGAGCAGGAAGAGGACAGCAGCGACCTAAAGGAGTCTAAGTCCATCACTCTTTCCCGAAAGGGGAACACCACTGCTGGGCAAAACTCATCCAAGGAATCTCACATTTTCATCACAAAGATTAAGCTTTCACATCACAGAAAAATGTTTTCATTCTTTCTTTCCTTTTTTCTTGATTTTACTTAAAGAACCTTACTCAGGTGTGGAACCTGACAACCCGGATCCAAAGTGCCAGCCGAGGTTTGCAGCAGCGCTCTGCCTTTTATGCTGCAGGGATCAGGGAGGATAAAGCAGCAACTGGGAGCTGCCTGCGCGGTCCAGTCCCGGCCAGCTCGCCTGGCAAGTCACCCGGGGGGAGCGGCCTGCAGCGCAGAGGGACTGAGAGGGACGTACGGAGTCTGACCCGCAGGGCTGGCTCTGGGCCCCAGCGGCCTCTCCGGACGGCAGGGTGGGTGGGATCTCAGTGGACGGCGTCTCCTCTGCTACCCAGAGTCCTCATGGAACTGTGGACCGTGAGGGTGTCCACATCCGCCCCTCGAGATCACACTCGGACTTCCCAGCAAACCGTTCCCACAAGCACAAGTGGGCCCAAGGAGCCTGAAGTTCTTTTTTAAAGCATACAATTGGGATATAAAATGATCTACGACTTACATACTTTTAACTTATTTTAAATATATGAGGCCCAAAATAAATCGTTTCTAGAAGTACCTTATTAATAAGCAGAATGTCAGCCAATCTTTAATTGTTTTTGGAGACTTTTCCTTTTCCGAGTTCTACTACACACGCTTAAGACATAAAATTCTCATTCACTTATGTGTTTACTAATTAGAAACTTTCTAATTTAAATATACATTTTTTTCGCTGACATACTGAGATTAAATTCTTATCCTTCTCCCCCAAATTTTTTAATAGCTCTCAATTGTTGGTGATTTTTTTTCTAATTTTCACAACTTACATGGAGGGAAATGCCAGATTTGATATCTTCTTCAAAAATCGTTCACATATATCCTATTTAAAACTATGCCTATGAGAAAATGGAGGAAGGATTTCCTTCTGTTAACCTTACATTAGCTTTACAAGTATTGGTTGTATAAACAACATTAATAAGCCCTGTGTTAATACGCACTAAGTGTATTCTATAATGGGTTGATTTTATCTCACCAGTATGATTCTTTAAAGCCAGAAAACCTTGTTTGGATTAATTAGATTATACATCTGAATCAACAGCAGAATACTCTGACTGTACCACTTGCTAATACATGCAGAAAAAACATGGTAGGTCTCTCGATACAATTTTTTCCCAGGCAGAAGGAAGCCTGGCAGATTTCTGACCAGGAAACTGTCTTCCTGCTCACCCTGGCATCACTGGATGCTGAAGCAAGCCAGAAAGACAGGGGTTCCCCACATCCCTGAAGCCTAAAAATGCCTCTCGCCAAGCAAGCAGCTCCGCCCTCAGACGACTTGAATCCCGGAGGACCACGGCACACCACCAGCAGGGATGCACTCTGCAGCAGTGGTGCCCACCTCCCTCGGCCACCCCAGAGCTAACACAGGCCGGAGGCCCCTCGCCTAGTTGTCTTTTGGAGATGAGGAAACTGAAAATGAGGCCCAACAGTGTGACTTGGCCCAGGGCACCCCGGTAGTTTCCAGCTGGGGTGGGTAGTGACATGCAGGGGCCTGTTCTTCCATCCCTTTAACAGAAGGAGCCCCAAAACCAAGTGCTGTCACGGCCCAAGCCACAGCTGCAAAGGACCCTTTGGTTCAAAACTCGCCCCCATCCACCGGACCTGAACTGGACCATAACCACAGGTAATCACAGCAGAATCTGAATGGGTGAGCTTTGTCAACACCTTCCCTGACTTGTGGAGATCACGTCTTCCAAACAAAGGTAAAAAGGTAGAAACAACCAAGGAGGGCCATCCTCAGAACAGCAAGCTTCTGGCTTACAGGGAGGTGAGTCACCACACTTACCCTTAGCGCCACACTGCCCCACGGAGGTGCCCACCGTGGGTTCTGAAATCCGGTGGGACACACTAGGTCATCACACGAAACACACCCCACTGGCTCTCAGTGGGTGTAGGCCAAGGGGGCTAAGACACCCTTCAGCGCTGAGCACTCTTGTCTGACAAAACATCCTCCCACAAATTTCAAATGTCCCTCATGTGAGTGAAACATTCACATGAAATATTCATATGAGTGAAAAACATGCTTTCTAATTCTCTGAGTCCAGAATCTTACCCGGTTCTAGATTTATACATATAATACCATAATAACTATGCAAAAATATCTTTGGATAGTTTTAATATAACTTGAGTTTTCCAGTAACTCAGGAGTATTCAGTTTCATTGAAACTTCACCAAGAATTGCTCATTGCTGTGTGGTATTCCTTCCAGCCAATATCCACACAGCCATGCACACAGTGAAGCTCCCACGTTACTGACACCCCCACCCCCTCTGTCCTGCTCACCTTACAGCTAAGGCAGCATAGTAATTTTTTAATTATAAATCACATTTTTGAAACACTGCACTTGAGGATAAGAGGTCATTACAGAATAATTGTTCTTAAATAAAGGCATCAGTTCTGACAGGTTTGAGCCCCACGGCCTGCATAGAGGGCAGGCTCCACAAATGTCTGTGGGGAGAAAACACAGCTGCCCCACTTTCTCCGGAGGGACACAGGTCCCTGAAGCCCCCACCACCTGGGTGGAGATCAGGTGCAGGGGCCCTGTGGTGCTGCCAGCACAGCAGAATAGGTTGGGGTTAATCATGCCCGTACGGCAGGTGGCATCACCACTGAGCCAGACAAACAGGACAGGTTACCACCTTGAAATAGAGGCATGTCCATGAGCAGCCCAAGACCAACCAGGAACCTCAATCCCACATTCCCCTGTAAGGCCCCAAGGCCCCAAGGCTGCTCCTGTTCCCAGAACACAGGAGCGGGGTGGGCCCCAGCAGGAGCTGGCAGTAAAGCCAGCTGCTGTCCCTCGGACTCGCCGTGGTGCCCATGAGGCTCCCCCTTGCTCCTCGGATGCACAGGGCAGAAGGCAGCAGTCGATCTGGGAAACTGCAACCCAAGAGCCCTTGGCACACACGTGCCAAGCCCTCATCAGGCAAAAGGACAAACCACCACGTCGCAAATAAGACTCCTCTGTGGCTGTGTGGGAAAGGGTAACAGCGCAGCGAGAGGGACAGAAACAGCTGCCCATGGCCCAAGAGCTGCAGGCTGACAGCGACCCGGACTCCCGGGGACACAGCAGGCCAAAGACTCCGCGAGAGCTTTCCAGTCTGACTAGGCTCCTCACGGAGCTTCGGCTCAGGGGTGCAGAACTACCACACAGCTCACTAGGCGAGGCCCTGAGTGTCGCCTTTAAGTTGGCACAACACAAACTGTGGACGTGAATGGAAAGGTTGCTCCACTCGAGTAAAGCCACCTGTGGAGGAGGGTCCGGAGGCAGGCCGGACAGGCGGGGGGTGAGAAGAGGACAAACGCACCTCTCCAGGGTCTGGTGGGTTTGCTCTGGTAGGAGGCGCATCAGTCTGCTTCGTGTCAAGAAGAAAACAAGCATGACATGTGGGACAGCGTGTTTGGGCTCACCTCGCTGCAGCTGGGGCAGGGACCACTGCAGGTAGCCCTAATGTGCGCCCGGGGGACGGGGCGGCCCTGCTGTGCGCCCCCCGTGCGCCCGGGGGACGGGGCGGCCCTGCTGTGCGCCCGGGGGACGGGGCGGCCCTGCTGTGCGCCTGGGGGACGGGGCGGCCCTGCTGTGCGCCCAGGGACGGGGCAGCCCTGCTGTGCACCCCGGGGATGGGCCGGCCCTGCTGTACGCCCCGGGATGGGCTGGCTGGCGGCTCTTACCATCGCACTTTGTTGCACGTCTGCGTTGCGCCAAGAGGGGAGCCCGCCACCATGGGGACCTGGATGGGGCTGTGCTGCTTGCTCGTGACCAGGTCCAGCTTTTCTTCTAAAGACTTACACGTGGCCTCCAGAGCCTGCAGCTTGGCCTCGATGCTGTCCAAGCGCAGGCAGATGGTCTGGTTAATGGAGCACAGGAATGACTGCAAGTGGAAGAGAGAGAAGCTTCAGAAGGGGCGGCTCGGATGCTGAGGAGACAATTCCAAGGAGCCAAACAGCAGCTTGCTGATTCCAACTGTGTCTATTCCAGCAGAAGGTCCTGAACGTCGGCTCTCTAGTTAGAAGCCAAACACATCTGACGGGGGAATTCAACCTCGGTGTTCAGAATGTGGCTGCTCGGCCGTGACTGCACCTCTGTGGCAGCTGGGCTCAGAGCCACACTTCAGTCATGCCATGAACCGTGTGCAGTCTTCCAGATGCTACCCAGTCATCAGTACATGGACACATGCACTAGCCACACCTCTAACTATAAAACAGGGCCTGCGAACCGTGGGCACTGCCTTCCCATCACGCCAGCCGCCCTGATGCTGACACCTGGGGCTGCAGGCAGTTTCCAGCAGTGGGCCTGCCACCTACTGGCCCGCACGAGCAGCAGGTCTCAGGGCTACCCGGGGCCAGGGCCCAAGTGGCCAGCCCTTAGCCGCAGACAGCAGGGCGGGGGGCCTCGGGGCCTGGAGGGCTCCTAACACCCAGCGGCTCATTCACTGTCAGGCTGCGGGGAGGGAATCTGCGTGTCACCTTGTTCCCAATTTCCTGCCTCGAACTGAAGGGCAGAGCCCAGGTGGGCACTGGAAGGAAGGCACAGGGTGGGGCAGGGACCGGAGAGCAGGCCAAGGGCAGTGCCTCTGCAGAGGACCGCCAACCGGCATGCGCCCATCGCACTTGCACTGCACACTTGCCTCCCGCAGCTGGGGTGGGTGCCAGGACACATCAGGACAGGCCCCCAGGACCGGCCACAGAGGAGCAGGCCAAGAGGGGCATGCACAGAACCGGCATTCGGTGGGCGCAAGGCACAGGGTCACCAGAACCCACAAAGAGGACATAGTCGCTGTTCCCCAGATATAAGTCATCTTGAGAATCGCTAATTGGTGCCTGAATTCTTGAGATAAAATCACTGATAACTCTACTATTTTTTATAATTTTAAGACATCAAACATTTGGCTTCTGATCTCTTTAAACACAGCAAGCATCATCTTAATTCTCAATTAGAAATGACTCTGTGCCTGAGGTTTGAGCAATCACTGCTATATAATAATAAAACGATTTATCAAACACACTAATAACACAAGAAAGTGCAGAACAGTGTTTTTAAATAAATCCTTTATACGCAAGTGACGTTCCCTGCGAGCCACTCAGATCTCCTGGTTAGGGTGCTGGGCTGGTGGGCGAAAGCGCTCAGCGCACCTGCGGCAGCACTCAGACCGCACCCGACACTTTCACACCTTTTCCCTGTTACTTTACACGTTTCCGTATCACATGGGCTGTTCACAACAAACGTCACTTTGGGAGAAACTATACTTGCAGCACTTCTGTTACAGAACACAGTAAACTGAGCTTACTAGTCAGCCCCTCTACCTGAGTCTGAAACGGCAATCTAACTGAACAGCACTGTCAGCCACCCCGCACGCTGCAGCTCGCACGCTTCACAACAGAGCGGACAGCTGCCCGCTCAGAGGGCTGACATGGAGCCACTGGCCTCTCACTGCGCTGCCTCCAAGACGTCCCTCCGGGCGCCTGCTGTCCCTGCGACGCTTGGCCAAGCCAGGAAATCCAAGGAACTAAAACTCCTCAGCCGGCCACACCCAGCGACCCTTAAAATTCAGGCGACTTAAAGAATGGGCACAGAGGCCCTTCATCACCAGTGGGAAATGAAGTCAAAAGACATGTTCACTTGTCCTCCATCCACAATGGGTTTATGGGACTATAGGAAGAACCCTCATTTAGGAACGATCTCAATCTAAACAGTGTCTTCACACTCTTCAAGGGTAAAAAGCTGGCTTTCCGTACTATGTAGGGGGTTGAATGGTGACCCTCCCAAACTGAGATATCCTTGTCCTGACCCCGGAACCTATACACGTGGCCTTATTTGGAAAAGCGCCTTTGAAGATACAATTAAGTCAAGGATCTTGAGATATCTTCCTGGCTTAGAGCAGGCCCTAAACCCAGTAGAACGTCCCTATGAGAGAGAAAAGGAGACAGACACACAAGCAGGGGCCCTGTGGGGACAGAGACAGATGGTGCAGCCGCCAGCCAAGGGACCCCTCAAGCCCCCAGGAGCTGGGAGGAGCAGGAAGGACACCCCTCCCCCATGCCCAGGACCTCCCCGGGGAGCACAGCCCCACCCACACCTGGATCTCAGGCTCCTGGCTCCAGAGCTGGGAGAGAGGGAATCCCTGCCGGTCTACACCCGCCAGTTCACCATCATTTGTTTCGGCAGCCCCAGGACACTGAGACGTAAGGATGTGTGTGTGTTAGTGTCCTTACCTTTATCGAGGGGTCCTGGCAATTGATCTCCAGTCGCTGGCGTTTCAAAGCTGGTTCATCTTCGTCTGTCACCACATGATTCTCCAGCACAACTGAAAACCAAACGCAGAGACAAGATTTAACTTTAATATGAAAGGTTTTACAGAACTGTTTCAATATTAAGCGAGGAAACAGTTCTGTCACCTTAACAGAAATAAAAGAAATGGTGTGACCTGTTTCGATTTTTACCTTTTTAAACTTAGCATTCTCAGGCAGAAAATAGGATCTCTTCCTTAATCCCCAGAAAGACTGATAACCAGATAGATTATTTCCCTGATGTGCCTCTAAGCTGATTCTACCATGAAAACTGTAGGTTTCTCCCTCAGCACCCTAGTAAGCTACCCTGCTTGAATTTCAGCATGAGAAAAACCCAAATAATGATCAATATTTCTTCCCAACTTTAAAGTCTTCTCTGTGGGTACCTCATTTCAAAATCAGAACCATTCTCTGAATATTACATTTTCTTAGGTGTTTGTCACCAAACAGCACTGGAGCACGCTAAGCCATGCAGAAACCACCCCTGACCCCCGGTGCTGCTGAAGCCGGCGCTGCCCCTCAGCACCCTCCAGGCAGCGAGCACAGCTTCCTCGGGATGTGCCCTGAACAGACCCAGGCCACACGACGCGGGCCCACCCGTCTTCCTTCCCCCAGGGTAACTCGGAAAGCACTAAGGACACCGAAGGCCGGGACCCTGTCTGCCCACAGCTGAGCATCTACACGCCAGGCTTCTGTCCGCCCTCAGGCCCCCACCTGGGACTTCAACCTTTAAACATTTACACGTTTGCGATTACAGATAGAATTTATATTCCACACTTATTACTGGACATGGCAGCATGAGTCCTTTTCCATTTCACTATAGAACTTACTCATCTCCTGGCTCGAATCACCAACATCCCCTGCCTGCTGTACTCCTCCCCTCTTCCGACGTGCTCACGCGGGACACAAGCGTGTTACACACGCGTGGGGGGGCCGAGCGCATCACCAGGTCTCTGCACCTTTGCTCTTCACTCAGCCACATAAACCTCCTGGTGGTTAATGACTCTCACTCACTTTCTAACAGTAACACCAGTTTGTGGCTCTATGCTGCAGACATGAGGGCCAGTGGACAAGAATCCCTAAGCACACACACAGGACATGTGCGGTATGGTCTCACGTATGTGTACACATGTGCTCACACAGAAGCACGCCCCCTGCAGGACAGTGCCCACCCGCGGTGCTGAGCTACAGGTGCACACCCCAGCACACCGTCTGCCCACCTTTCATGTGCACCTCGCCCTCCAGCCAAGCGGCATGGACGGGCTGGGGACAGATGCCTGCCTCACTCGGGACAGTGCCAACTGACCACGGCCCTGCTCCTCCCTGCAGCCCTCCCCCAACTGCCTCCACCCAGAAAAATGGATCCGACCTTCCCTCCAGCCCCACGAGGATGCTGGAGCCCCCAGGGCCCCACTGCGATGGCAGCAGCGGCCAGGACCTGCCCCCAGAGCAGACCACCTCCAGCCCCTGCCCTACAGGGCTGTCCACAGATGGGGCTGGTTGAGTTCCTCATCCGCTGAGGGAGGGCTGGGGGCAAGCTTGGGATGGCCAAGCACCCAGGTCTCTGCGAGCCCAGCCCCAGCCCCACGTCAGCCAAAGCACCTCCACTTGGACAAGTTTATACACTGAGGTTCCAAAAAAGAGCTTGATCAGAAAAGTGTCAGTGCCCTTAAACCTGTGCATCCTAGTGATTCATTTCAAAACTCTAAAACCTGGAGACACTGAGTATTCCTATGGCTCTAACACGAGACTTGCACGGGTCCTAAGCAAGAGCCGCAAACTGATTTCCTGGAGGTAAATTACCCAGAGCAGGAACCAGCGAAGGGCCAGCAATAACAAGCAGCATTTGGGTCACAGTGGGCCTTGCATCATACACTGGGGTCCCGTGCACCTGGACTGCCTCAGACACCACCATAGAAACATGTGGGAATAGCAATTTCTCATTAACTAAGTAAAAAAAGTTAAAACCATGCCTACAAGTATTTATGGTTAGCAAAACACAGGTCAGAGAACCTCAGTCAAAACCTATATACTCCTATTGGAAACTGATAACTATACCAGGACTGGGAGGACAGAGATCCTTGTAATCATTATTTTAATCTTTCCATTTGCTGAAGAGAAAACAAGTCCAGAGAGGGTAAGTGACTTGTCTGGGACCACACAGCTAGTTTCTGTAAATACAGAAAAACAGAGTCGATGCCCCTGGAAGCATGACATGCCTTAAGGGCATAAGCAAAGGCGGCGAAGCAGGTGTGTAAAAGGAGACATGGCCCTGTAGAGACAGAGGGGCACATACCAGGGTTCCAACAGTACCTGCCTATGGACTGTGGGGCCGCGAGTCTATTTTCTTCTTTGTTCTGTGCTAGATTTTGCAACCATTGCCTGCGTGGCTTTTTAGAATTTTGCGTGCATTACTTTCAGAATTAGATAAAAGACATCAATGTTCATCTTAAAGCTGTCACAGCCAACTGGACTCAGATGCCTGATGAAGCCACAGTTTGTGGCCTGTACACAGGTAAAGAAATGCAGCCACATGTTGAGTGGGTACGAACCCAGAGGAACCTCAACATGTTTGCTTTGGATGGAAATCAGGAAAGCTGGAAGGACATGGATGCCAGCAGGCAGTCCCACTAGGGCTATGGGAAAGTTTTATTTCTTCTACTTGCATGACTGTACTTTTAAATTTTACAAAGCTCATGCTTTAGAGATGAGGGGAAAAATCAACTTAAGAGCCACTCTGGATGCAAAAGTATCTCCCAGGTGTGTACAAGTTATCTGTGGCCAGAGATTGTACGCTTTCATGCTATGAGGGCCTCAGAGAGCCCCGCACACAGTAGCTCTCATTAAACAGTCAACAAATTGTAGTTCTCAGTTATTTAAAGAGGAGAGGTGGGAGAGAACCAAGATTAGAAATTACTTCTCTGGGCCATCTTTGGGCTATAATCTACAGAGAGAGGATTTATTTGGAAAATCATAACTTTAGTTCTAAAAATGTTTAAAATGTATGTAACTGGATCATGTTTCTTTTATAAAATTACATTGTGTTTTCTAAACCAAAATATGAAAAGTTATTTTCAAAATTATTATCTGTAATGATCGTGTTACTGCTAGTTTTCAACATCCAGGGGTATCTAAGTGGTGCTACTGAGGTCAAGGCCACAGGTTCTCACTCTAAGCAAGCCGGCTCTTTCACAGGGAAAATGTGGTGAAGCAGCCACGCTCAGACGCCCTAAGTGTCCAGGGACCCGACAGGCTCCTGAGCTTGCCAGGTGACAGGTGACAGTGGTTCTTACAAGCAAATCAGAAGCAAATGAGGAGAAAAACTCCAGAATCGGAGTGCTGAGAGGGCACCCTTACTCCCTGTGAGCGCGCGTGTAAGTCCAAACTCATTGATATTACTCTCCCCTTCCGTACCAAAACTAGTTTCCAAATGAAGTTTTTGCACCTAATATATCAAACAGATCATCCCAGACAGATAGCATCACTTGCTTATGGCAGTTCTGGAAATTCTTTTCTGGGGAAAAAAAACTCCAACATTTGAATCCTGCTATTCCAGAGAGAAGACCAGACGACCAGACAGCCACAACACCGAGACTCCCCCGCGTGCACCTGTCACCTCAGACCTAACAGAGACGCAAAACACATGAAACCTTAAAGAAAAAAAAAGGAGAAAACTTATTAAGAAATCTTTTTAAAGTGTAGACAAACTTTTTCAGAGATGTAATTTCAGACAAATTCTTGAAATGCAGGGTTTCCTATATAAAGGGTCTTCTTAGAACAAATATTCAGTTAAGATTTCAAAGTAGATGCATGACTTTAACATCATTAAGAAAAATTACCAACCTGAGCAGAAGTATAGGAAAAAAGCTGCTCTCACACAGAGTTGGTAAAAAGTAAATAAAATGTTTCTGGGAAATCTGTCAGTGTCTTAGCAAAATTTTGAACATATACAGCAATTCTACTTCTGGGAACTTCCCCACAAAACTGTTTGCCAAGATCTGTGTGCAGGAATCTTGAGTGCAGCACTGTCTATAATAAAGAAAAGCAGGGCCAACAGGGTCTGTGGTTGTGGGTTAGAGCGCAGCTGTGATGGGGTCCCACACGCACTCAAGGAATGAGGCGGGCCTGCGCACCCAGGGCCTGCACAACGCGTCCCAGGGCTGAGTTTCAGACGCGGACATCGTAAGGAAGATAGTGTGGGAGCTTCTGCGCAGCGGGCCCGCTGTGGCAGGGGGCCGAGGCCTGCCCACCCCACTGCGCCCGCCACCCTGGGGCCTGAATCCTTCATGCAGCGCATGCAGCACTCTTCTCTTTATTCCCTTTTATTTATTAAAGGGAAGGAGACTCTGGCGAGCCCCCTTGGGTTTGCGAAGGAGAGAGCAGGAGGTCACCTGCTGCCCCGCAGCCCGGTACCTGGGTGGTCGGGACCCAGGTCCTCCACAGCGATCTGCACCACATCCGCCAGGTCCTGCTCTGACATCATCCGGAGGACAGGGGCGCGGCCGGGCAGCGGGTAGGACTCAGACTCCCACAGGACTGCGTTTCTGTCGCCTACAAAGCAGAAACAAAGACAGTGGAGAGGGGACTCACCACGGTGCCTGGAAATGAGGGACCTGCTAACTGTACCTCACAGAGGATGTCAGGCATTGCGGGTGTTTTTAATACAGAGTTCTTCCTGCCCCAGACCATCAGAAGATTGGTGTTCTTTGAGAGAACTGAGAAGTTCAAATCAGCATCCCTGCCTTTGTCCTTAACCACCAGACCAGCCTCCTGCTTTATGCATTCATTCCTCACACCACCTCCAAAGTCACTTCCTGAGGCGGCTTGAGCACAGCACCCCCCACTAAGTCTGCAGCGGTCCCCTAAGGCCCACAGGCACGTCCTATCCTTCACCTGCCCCACAGGGTCTTAGCTCCTGCCACCACTGTTTTCCGCAGTAGCACAGTGCTGCTGGAACAGACCCTGAACTACAGCGCCACCTGAGGCCCGGCCCTGGGGGCACTGCTGTCCCCTTCACCACCACGCCTGCGAGGGCAGGGGCCACCTCTAGTTTGAGTTGCCATTCCCAGGCCTCATCTTCCAAAACAAAAATGAGGCCATGCCATTCCCAGCAAGGCCTATCACCACACAGATCTAGGACTAGTCCTTGAACACGGAAGTCCAGGAATCGATGTCACCAGAGTACTTTACCATATCATGCATTTTAACTATGTGTAAGTAAGTATTTGTAAAATAACTTACTTTTTATCTTTACCCAATTAGACTACAAGGCAGAAACCACGCCCTCAGCTGCAGAGCACAGGGCCTTTCTAGCTGCTCCTGAGCCCTCAGCCACGACTGCCACAGGGCAGAGACAGCTGAATTGATAGGTTCCGTCATCAAGTTTCGACTAGAAGTCTGCTGACAACCCCCTCTAATGGATAGGTTCCAACAGGTGTGACATCAGTCACACACGCTCTTAAATCCTCTAACTCCCCTTCCCATGTGTCCATATTTAAAGTCCACAGCTTAACCAGGAGCAGCTCTGGAATTCCTTAGGACCAACCATTTGTAGAAGGAGGAACCACGCTCCAATCCTAAATCTTCCTTTATAAAGGTGACATTTTTACATAGACGTCATCAAATGCGTGATCAATAAAATGGCAAAGGTGTTTTTAATCCAGTTCATATACTTCACACAAGACGGTAAGGAGTGAAAAAGCATCAAAGAGGAGACAGACGACAACTGGGAGGAAAGCAGAGGACCCCAGGGGGACCAGACGAAACCCTCTGAAAGTCCCACTCTGGAAGAGGTGGTGATGCAGAACCTCCCCCCTGAAAACACCTGCAGCAATGAGGACAGCAGAACCCGTCTCCAGGCCGGCGTCCCCAGCAACACCAGGCAATGAGGCTATACCAGCAGGTCAGACAGACACTGACCCTCGTGGGGGCGGGGAGTGTGGGCAGCAGGGGGCAGAGGACAGTGAGCAAGTCAGCCCGGGGCAGAGCTGCAGCCGGGAGGCGTGCACAGCCCAACAGAGGCGGATGCAGGGCTTCTGCAGAGACGTCCAGAAGGCCCGCGGCATTCCGGCCCATCAACTCTCAAAACTCATCACCCAAAGCTCCCTTCCAGACCCAGAAAATGACTGGAAATAGTATACAAAATGTACAGGACAGGAAAATGAAAGTCTAATTAAAGATGGGAGCGAAAAACTGCCAGGAGACCTCAGAAAATAAGCTGATACATTTTTTAAAACCTCCTAAAGTCAACAGAAGATAGAGCTCTAGAACAGTGGAATTAGAAAAACTATTCTAAAATCAAGCCTCCTTTCTAAATGTTCAGGAAAATCAATTCCACATAAAAATGAACAACAGAAAACATTGAGGTCCAATCTCCTGCAAAGACAATATATTTTAGAAGAAAATAAGGAACAAAATAACATCCCTACAGATAATGAAAGCATGCTATAAAGACCTGTCCCTGAGAGAGAAGAAAACTCTATCCTAATATTTCAAAACAAGCTAAAATAAAGGAACGGTATGAAATATCACTGATCATAAACCAGCATTAGAAACACACAGAAGCAAAGTGACAGAACACAGAAAAGACTAGAAATAAGAAAAAAAATCATATCAGAAATGAACTTAACTAGAAAATCATTTCAGAAATGAACTGAACATAAACACAATAAATGTGCCTTAAGAAAACCAAAATGAGAAAAGGAAGGAAAAATTTAAGAATAAAAAAGAAATGAAAGAGTTCAAGAGAAAGCAGCATAGATGACAGGCAAAGAGGATGCAACGCGCACGTAACAGGGGACTAAACAAGGAGCCCAAGCGGAGTAAGGGGCGGGGGCCCCGGAGAGCTCAGCTTGAGAGACTCTCCGGAAGGGGTGCGTGTGTGAGACTAGGGGTGGTCGGGAGGGGCAGAACACTAATACCAAGACACCTTCTAATAACAATATTATTTCAAGAAAAAGGAAAATTTCCTTTAGACAGCTAGCAAAAAGCCCAGCTAACTTAAAATTGGGGGAAAAAAATGATCAAACTATGGCAGAAGAAAAACAGATTAACATATTTAAGATACTCAAAGATGTATGAACCAAGAATTTTACATTCGGACAAAATGACTTTCACGTATATTACAGACAGCAAACACTCATGAATACCTAGTACTCAGAATAGTATTCTCATGAATCTTTCCAGAAAAACGCTGCTGGAAAACAAGCTCTAGGAAACCAAATCACTGAAGAGACAAATTACGACCGCTTAGTGGGGACCATTCATTATTTACATGGAGAACTAAGACTAAATGAAGAATATAAAGGAGAAAGCATAGTTCCCAAAGCTATGTGCTCTGACGACAGACACACAATTTAATCATTTTAAATGGGGAGAAAAATTGGGAGAACATATACACAACAAATGTTAACAATTTTCAGTAATCACATTGAGTGGTAGCGCTGGAACTACCCTCTGAAAATGTTTGTGT